TTCTTGCCCAGTTTTGGGCTTCACGAGCAATGAGAGAAAATCCAGGTACCTGTTTTCTCCAGGATCCTGAAGTGCCCATTAACGGCTGTCATTCTTCCCGAGCTAATCACGATTCCACGTGCATGATTCCGCCATTCAGTCTGAATGAATTCTTAATTCTTAAATTCTGAATTCTTCAGACTGAAGACATTGGCGTGGAGGAGCATCGGGTCCAGACTGGGAGGGCTGTGGGGAGCAGGGAACTGAGGTGCCATAGATGGGGAGTGGCTGCTGCTTTCCCAGCTGTGCTGTGAGATGGACACGCTCCTCCTCACCCTGGAAGAGCTCCGGGAGCAACGGAGCCCTGGGCACCGTCCTCGTCTCCTCCCTCTCTGTGACAGACACCAGAGAGCCCCAACTCGAGAATCCCTTCCCAGCTGCCCCCCTTGCTCAGCGTGTCCAGGGGAACTATATAACACTTGTATCCCCAATGGCTTATTCTGTTTATGCTAAATATTAAGTTCTACGACTTTAAAACTAGCTCTGAGGGTGAAGAGGCAGAGAAGAAGCAGAAAATTTATTATCAGAGATTACAGGCACTCCAACACATTCTTCTCACAGACAGTATTGTTGTCTGTAGTAGACAATGAGAATTCTCCTTCGCTTTTTAGTTAGTTAGTTTTTAACTAGCAAAGAAGTTCCCTAGACTGTAGTTTTTTTTCTTTTTTTCTTACAATTGTTTAAACCTCCTCAAGACTAAAAATTCAGGAGAACACCAGGAACTCACACCTATGGCCCAATGGGGCCTGGCCTAGGCTGTGACAGTTTCCAATGCCAAGAAGACTGAGTGAGCCAAGCTACAACCCACAAAAGGGACTTTTCTGAATTTGTCATCTCTTCAGAGCACCGAAAGGTTTTGTTGTTCAGCATTGTTCATTTTTTGTGCTAAAGAGTGCTTTGCCTGTTAAAGAAACATTTTTTTTCCCCACCTCTCTCAAAAAAAAATCTTTTCCCAAACCAGCTGGGGGAGGGGTCACTTAAGTCTACATTTCTGAAAGACCCCCTTTAGAAGTTTTCTCCCAAATTTACCTACTAAACCAAGACACAGGGCAAAGGGAGAGGCAGCATGAATTCTGAGAGGACATGCACAGGAACCAGTGGGACAGAGCAGAGAAGAACAAAAGGGCTGGAAAAGTGGCCAGTGCTGGGGGGGTTTTATGTGGCCTGGTTTTTGGTAGTGAGAGAACCACGGAGGGAGTTTCTGTGAGAAGTTGCTGGAAGCTTCCAGCACATCCGGCAGAGCGGGTCTCTGATGGCTCTGAAGATGAACACACTGCTGGCCCAATTAGACAGTGTCACAGTGTCCTGGGGTACAATGCAAAAATGTGAATTCTATCACCATCTGTTGAAATGTGGGAGGGGTGGTGATCCTTATCTCTGTGGGAGATATCCTCTGATAAAATCAGGGGGATGATCATCGTT